TGTGACTGACATTCAAATCAGAAATAAAATACCAAGGAGGACTTCATGATACTCCAGACTTTTTATGCTGCTATCCATTCACTACCAAGTTCTAAGAGTAACCATTATCTGAACTTCTAAGAACATAGATTTTATTTGCTTTCTTAAAACCAAAACTTTCATTATTTGCCCATTTATAAAAGTAATACATCTTTGTGTGTTGTAGAAAATTGAGAGAATATAGGTTAAAATATGAAAAGGAAGAAAAAAGGCTACCCAGAAACATATTTTGGTGTAGATTCTTCTTTTCCAATCATATGCATATAAGTTTTAAAACGAAACAGTGGATGTGTAGTATATATTAAGTTGACAGTGTATGTAAATATCTTTTTGTGCCATTAAATATTCTTTACTACATGATTTTGAATGGTCCCACAGACATCTATGAAGTGGTTGTGCCATTCATTATTTATTTAACCCACTTCCATTTATTGGCTATTTAGACTGTAAAACATCTTTCTTTGCTATTTGTGATGAACATTTTGATAGATTAATCTCTTCATAGTAGTTTTATTTATTAATTTTTTGTTATGGTAAAATACATATAAAATAAAGTTTTCCATTTTTATCATTTTAAGTGTAGAATTTATTACTGACAATAATTATATTCATAATGTTACACAACCATTACCAGATGTATTTCCAAAGCATTTTCATTACCTCAAATAGAAACTCTGTATCTATTAAGCTATAGCTCCCCACTCCACCTCCCCCCACACTCTGGTAACCTTTAATCTACTTTCTAACTTTATGAATTTGCTTATTACAGATATTTCAAAAAGTTGGACTTGTACAATATTTGTCTTCTTGTGTCTGGATTATTTTCACTTAGCATAATGCTTTCAAGATTCTCCATGTTGTAGTGTGTATCAGAACTTCATTCCCTTTTATGACTGAATAATATTCCAAATACATATGTAAATTTTATTTCTTATATTAACAAAATCATACAAATGTTCTATCTTATGTTAGTTTATTGTGTTCAATATTACATTTGGGATAGTCACCCATATTGCTACATTCAGTAATAGAACATTTATTTTGATTACCATATAGTATACCATTGTATACAAAATTTAAATGTCCATTTTATTGTTAGGCTTTTGTAATATTTTGGCTACTATGAATATTATTGCTATGAACATCCTAATCGGTGTAGAATTTCTGATTCACATATTTCTGCTTAGTAGATACAGCTAAAGAGCTTTCCAATGTGATTATATAAATACATGATACCACCACAATGAGAATTCCAGCTGTTCCACATTCTCACCAAACTTCGCATTACCCTTTTTCATTTTTACCATTCTGGTGAGTGTGTGGTAGTATATCACTGTATTTTCAATTTTCCTTTTCCTCATAACTACATTCTTTTTCCTTTTGCCTATATCCATATTAGATTTTCTGTCTTTTTCTCATTTATCTGTTGGAATTCTTCATATAGTCAGGATATAGTTGATTATAGTTAGGCATTGTACAATTGTCTCTGATGCTATACCCTTTTATTCTTTTAATTATTTCTTTTGATAAATAAAATATCTTATCCTTAACTTAGTCTAATTTATAAATTATTTTTCTCTTCAGATTAGCACTTTTAATTTTGTTTAAGAACACTTTGCTTATTCCAAGGTCATAAAAATATTCTATTTTCTTTTATGTCATTATTGTTTACTTTTCAGATCTAGATGTGCAATCCATCATGATTTTTTTTTTTTTTGGTATGTAATGTGAAGTAGTGATCAAGATAGTTTATTTTTCCATATGGATTTCCAATTGACTCAGCATCCATTTATAGAAAACACCATATTTTCCTTATAGGACTGTATTATTACCTTTATCTTTAATCAAGACCTACATATCTTTAAAGTTGGGAGGTGTCAGCTTAAGAACTCACATTTAATTTTGTCACAATCCATAGACTGGAAGGTAGATAGGACTGAGACACAGTAGTAGGAGACATTAGCTAACAAATACATAGCAAAACAGTGATTGGAGTAGGATAGAAAGGACATATGGATGATATACATTAATATTTAAACCATAATGTCATTCTGATTTAGATAAAGAGCTTGAGCAAGAAGGGTAATAAAAAGTTCAACAGTAAGAAACTCTTATTATTAAAGCAAAAACAATTTTTTAAATTAATGAACAGAATATTCATGAAGTTTTATCCATATTGTATATAAGTTCTGGTGAGCAGTATAAGTAGACTGTCCCAGTCACAATTTGAAAGAAAAAAAAATTCCCTGAGCTCAGATGAAAGATTTTTTGCATAGAAATGATTATTGAAATTTAGATTGGGAGAAACTTTGCAATTAGACGATATATACAGTATAATAAGAATATTAATATAATAATCCTCCTGTGTTCATCCATTATTCCTAGATAATAATTAATACAGACATATCTTGTGAGTATGAGGATGATAATATATTACAGATCTGTCAAAAATCAGAAATTATTTTATTTTCCATTCCATATTTGCCATAGAACATTATGCATAGATAATTATGCATGATTATATAAAGAAATTCTATTTACAAATCTACTGTAACAATTAAAGTTTAATTTTGCAGTTCTATTTATTAAAACCTTGATAATGAAAAGCACCACCACCAATAATGACAAAAGGTATTTTATTCTCTTTTTTAGAAGACATTGCACTGAAAATGTTCCCATTCTGTGAGTAACCTGTAGTATGTGGAATTGATTTATGCATAATTAGAGCAGGCAGCTGCTCTATTAATGTGATTTGAGGGACTCGAAGTAAATCCCCCTTGAATAAATTAACTCCCAGTTGGATCTTTTTAATCCTCGCATTAGTGTTTCTCCCCATAGACATTTTATAGGAGATGTATATAGAGAAAAAGACATTACATTTCCTTGGAGAGATAACACATTATCTAGCTAATGAATTAGCAGAAAATAATTGGCTGGATTTACTACCATTATACATATTTACACACTAGGTAGATGGCTTCTGAAGAGAATAGGAAAGTAGAAAGATGCAGATCATCAGCAACAGGAAAAGGCAGGAAATTTGGTGAAGAAAAAGGTAGCATTTTTCATCTAGGTTTTAGAGTTGTGACAAGAGAGCCCATGTGAAGAGAAATAAAACTCTGTGTTTGTGTTCTCTGTGTTTGTGTGTATTTACACACATACATATATGTACACACATATATTTTCCATAATCCTTTATCATATTGTATGTACTATAATAAAATTTGATTTATTCTTTCAACAGATTACAACCATATATAATATTGATACTTATCTAACATGTTACAGTTTTCAAGTATTTATAAATTCTGTACAATTTTCAAGTATTTGGAAGTTTTACACTATATTGTAATCTAAAAATATGAATAATTGCATTATTAATTCACTGGCAAACAATTACACAAATTTTCAGTTATAAAATTTCTCTTGATCAGATCTCTTGATTTTTTTCTTTTTGTTTATTTCAGCATATTATAGGGGTACAAATGTTTAGGTTACATATATTGTCCTTTTCCCTATTCCCGCCCCCCCAGTCAGAGCTTCAAGTACGTCCATCCCCCAGACAGTGCGCATCACACTCATTATGTGTGTATATACTCATCCCCTCCTAGTCCCCCATCTTCTCTACACCTGATGAATGTTATTCCTATAGGTGCACTTAGGTGTTGATCAGTTAAAACCAATTTGATGGTGAGTACATGTGGTACTTATTTTTCTATTCTTGCGATACTTTACCAAAAAATTATCTTTTTTTTCTCTTCAAATTTAGTGATGCTTTTCACCTCTGGTCAAATGCACCTGCACATATTATTTTTGCCAATCCCTGATGGTTCCTTGTGGAATTTATTTATTTACTTTTTTAATTTCAGAAAATTATGAGGGTACAAACATTTTAGTTACATGTAATTCCTTTGCCTCGCCTTTTCCATACAGTATGCTCCATCTCCATTAGTTGTGAATTTACCCCACCTCCCCACCCATCTCCATTAGTTATGAGTTTACCCCCCCCCACCTGACTGGCACCCAATGAGTATTACTACCATGTGAGCACCTTGGTGTTGATCAATTAGTACCAATTTGATGGTGAGTACATGCAGTGCCTATTTTTCCATTCTTGTGATACCTCACTTCGAAGGATGGGCTCAAGCTCTATCAGGATAAGAGGTGCTCGATCACTATTGTTTTTTATAGTCGGGTAGTATTCTATGGTATACATAATCAATATTGTTAAACTGTCCATACTACCTAAAGCGATCTACAGAATTAATGCAATCCCTATCAAAGTCTCATCATCATTCTTTACAGATCTAGAAAAAATAATTCTATGCTTCATATGGAACCAGAGAAGACCTCATATAGTCAAAGAAATCTTAAACAAAAAGAACAAATTGGGAAGCACCAGTTTACCAGACTTCAAGCTTTGTTACAAGGCTATAGTTACGCAAACAGCATGGTATTGGCACAAGAACAGAGATACAGACCTTTAGAACAGGACCGAGAATCCAGATATAAAACAATCCTCATATTGTCAGCTAATGTTTGACAAAGCAGACAACAACAGACATTGGGGAAAAGAATCCCTATTGAGTAAATGGTGCTGGGAAAACTGGATGACTACATACAGAAGACTAAAAGTAGATCGCCACCTCTCACCTCTCACAAAAATCAACTCAAAATGGATGACCGACTTAAACCTAAGGCATGAAACCTTAAGAATTCTAGAAGAAAATGTTGGGAAAATGCTTACAGACATTGGCTTAGGCAAATAATTTATAAAAAGACCCCAAAAGCAATCACACCAGCAACAAAAATAAATTGGGACCTGATCAAATTGAATCCTAAACTTTAACTTTTGATTTCCTAGCCCTGTATGCCCCTAAATGCTCTGTTTATCTTCTCAGCCATTTAGAGCATCCTATGAATGTCTCAGTGAGAATTGAAACATTAGAGATTGAACTTACCTTTCATTTTTCTTCTTGTGGGCGACCTTGCTTCCTGAAGTCTTCATTTCCTGAGAATCTCTCTGATGAGTTCAAGAGATATTTTGTCTATTTTATGCAGATTTTCTAGTTGTTCATGCCTGTAGGGGTGGTCTGCTAAGAATAAGTATTTTATAGTAGAAAGAAAAATATGTATGTATATTAATATACATTTAATATATACAATTTTAAACAAACAACTCTTATCACTTAATAACACTTACCAACTTACTAAAGTAGGATATCATAGATTCTATCTTTTCTCGGGAAATGAATGATTGCTTGTCCCAACTATATACTCATATTAACTTGCACTACTTTATAAATATCTGCTTAACTTAGTAATTCTCTCTAGAGGCGTGCGCAAGCATAATGTAGTCATAAGGATGTAAGCCCTTTAGTCATACTTCTTGAGTTCAAATACTAGCTCTAAATTTTTCTAGCTCTATTACCTAGAGCAAATGAATAAACCTCCCATTGCATCAGATTCTTCATTTATAAAATGAGGATAATAAAACCTGATGGAGCTTGAAAAATAATTAAATAATATAACACAGGAATAGTGCTTTGAACAGTGCCTGGCACAGAACATGATAATCTCAAGTAGTGATTATATATGTATATTGTCTGCTATAAGTTAAAATTTACCTTAGATCTAACATGTTTGTAAATATTATATTTATTTGAGGGATATGAAAACCTTCATCTATTCCCTGTTTTGTGAAATCAAATAATTCATACCCCCTGTTAATCAATTTTCTTGTTTAACTGGGCCATTTAAGGTATTTTTAAAGAGAAAAGTATGAGCTATATATATTAGCTCTTATATAATTTTTTTAAAAAATCTTATTGATTGAACTATAGAAGTGATGAATGTATGTGATACTTATCAAATAAAATATATAATATTTTTCTAAATAATGCCTTATCTGATATTAATACCCATTGAACTATTATGATAAATGTAAATTTAAACAACAAATTATATAAGGATATATGGTGTTAAACATCCTGCAGTTATAGTAATAAGGTCTAAACTTTCATGTTAGTTTAGTTTGAAGGTATTCCCTTCCATTACTGCTGAAATAGTTTTCTTATAAGAAAACTCCTTTAATAGGGACCAAATTTCTCAGAAAGTACCACAAACTACACTGATAATTTTTTTTATCATTTATATGAAAGAATGTTTACGAAACTTCCCCTTATTTTTGTCACAGCTTATAGTGCACACTGTCTGGGGATGGACACATGTGTAGCTCTGAGTTGGGTGGGGCAAAGGCAACATATGTAACTAAATATTTGTACCCCCGTAATATTCTGAAATAAAAAATGCATATATATATATATACATATATATATACACACATATATGTATATATATGTGTGATACACACACACACACACACACACAATAAAAAAAGTGACTTGGGCTTCTTAAATGGCAGCTCATCCAAAATAATCTAATTCTGTAACTAGCTCTGATGAATTTTCTTCATTTCTCTTCAGGAAAGTGATAGAAATACGAAGATTCTGAGATTGTTACTATATTGCTTTCTGATATTTTAAATAAGATTTCAATCTCTTATGAAGTCAAAACCCTAGCAATTGTCTTTAATAATTGGTTTTCCCTTAAGAAGCAAATTCTCCTATACACAGACTCCTAAAAGAGTTTGGAGACTGAATGTTTGATATGAACTCATTAGGTGTCATTAAAGTAAAATAAAAAGTCAAATATAAACAAAACATTTCTATCTACTTCCCTTTTGGGTGAATCCTATCATATTGATCATCTCTGAAATTCAAAAATTAACAAATTTTCTCTTTTAGCTATTTATACTCATTATTTTGCCTGTAAAAACTAATATGAAAGAATATTTGCTTAGATATAAGATTCTGATAAGTTACCTTTTTATACTTATTGATATTTAGAATGAATATTGGAATTTTAAATTTTAATTTTGATAATTTTATTGCATATTAGTTAAAGGGGCTTGATGAAAATATAACTACTTTGTATAGTCATATAATCTTTTTCCTATTGAAATCTCATAGGTTATAAAAAACAGATTTAAATCTCATTATCTCTACATACATATGAAATTAATCCAAATTACATACATTTTTTGCAGTTAATTTCTGATTATCTACCCTAATGAAGAAAAACATTAGTGAGAATCATACCTACCAATGGGTAAGCTTCCACTGACTCTCAGCTGAGATTCTAAGCTTTAGGAATAAAAACAATAAATGTAGGATTATAATAGAATTATGAATATTACTTTATAAAATATCAACTTTTATTTCCAAAAGCACCCCTTTGATATTTCTGATCTGTACAAACTATTTGAAGAAATTGCACCTGGTCCTTCCCAAAGTTCTATCACAATTAACAATCACTGGGAATATAAATTTTCTAATTTTTTTGAGGAGAAATATAGGAATCTCTATCATTTTTAAAGAGTATTAAATTCTATTTTTAGATATTAAATTTATGGACATAATCAGAAATGCTTATAAAGAGTTTTATATAGCAATTTTATAGGGATAATAAATAACATCTTAAAAATAAATTAACATGCAATAAATATTAGTATAGCCATACGATATGTCCAGTAGTACACCCTTATTCAAGGTTTCACAAACCATAATTAACTGAGGTCCAGAAATATTAAATGGAAAATTCCAGAAATAATCAATTCACAAGTGTAAAATTGCATTCTGAGTAACTGGACGAACGAAATTTTGCAGGCTCCACTCCATCATGCTCAGAATATGAATTATCCTCTTTCTCAGTATATCCACGTGGTATACGCTACCAGCCAGTTAGTCAATTAGTAGCCTTCTTGGTTACCAGATTAACTGTCTTGGTGTCAAGGTGTTTGTATTCAAGTAACTCTTATACTTAATAATAGTCCTAAGTATAAGAGTAGTAATGTTGGCAATTCGGATATGTCAAGGAGATGCTGTCAAGTGCTTCCTTTAAGAAAAAAAGTCACATGTTGAAGTTGCTAAGAAGATCTTTGGTAAGAATAAATCTTCCATATGTGAAATTGTGAAGGAAAAAGAAATTCATACATAGTACATAAAGTCATGTGTCTTTTAAAGACAAGGATACCTTCTGAAAAATGTGTTATTAGGCAACTTTGTTATTCTGTGAACAATTCCCCCTTTCACGTATTACACAGTTTTATCAATTTTACTGCCTGTATCAATTCTCAAGAAGTTTTATACAGTAAGTATACTTTTAGAAATACTGAGTGAGAAAAGTAGGAATGGGCAAAGAAAAGTGGTAAATGGTGGAATAAGTAGTATCTCAGGGGTCCCTGTAAGACAGGGTGGTATACATAATAGTTATTTTGTCTTAGACTAAGATGATAATGCAGCTCTCAAGTTGCAACCCATGGGCCACTTGCATCAGAATTGCCTGAGATGCATTATCAAACATACAGTTTCCTAGACCCCACACTTGAACAGAATCTTTGTGGTTGGACCTTGGGGATTTGCATTTTTAAGAACGTCTAGTTGATTTTCTACTTAATAAGTTTTAGAACCACTATTTGGCAAGTTTATTTATCTGTTTCTCAAGGTTTAGTGTATCAGCCTGCATTAAAATCAACTCTGCTTCATTTGTGAACTGGATGAATTCTATTCTTTGTGAAGATTCTGACTTTCAGTTTTATTTTAGTGTGACTTATTTTTGACAGTGTTAAAGATGTTAAAGTCCAAAAATGATTAATAAGATATTTTCAACATTAGAGGTGTAAAAGCCTGGACTCAGATCTTATTTTGTAATTCAGTATCTCTGGCTGGAGCTGGACACTCACTGAGCTTTCCAAAGAGATTTCCATTCCTGGGTCTATCAACATTTCCTTATAAATGTGTTGTACTTAGGTAGGAGATTTCTGAGAAAGCTTTCAACATTATTATGCTAATGTTAATATTGGCCTACACATAAGGATTCTGTCATTCTGTCCATAGTCATCTTCTGACTTTTCAAGTAATAGCAGTTATAATCGCTAGCATAAATGGTACTCACTGTGATTAAGGAGTCCCAGTCCCATCTTTCAACATGATTACAGATAGTGTGTTATTTGACAAACTAATTTGTCTTTAACCCAGTTTTAATGTTATCCATCATAATAAAGACTCAATGCAGACAATAATTTTATCCCTATAGTTCTAGTATAATGTTTCCTATAAGATACACAAAATTTTCTATCAGCTATAACTGTATTTAAAAATGTGATAATCCATGGAATTACCTATACAACTATAAGAATTTGTTATAGAATTTGTTAGCTTAAAATTAGATTATATTGGATACTACTACTATGTTAAAAGAACACAAATCATTGCTAGATATTATGTTCTCTTACCTAGTGTTTATCTATCAAACACATTGCATTATAAAATTATAAATTATTATAGAAAAAGTTATAATTTATGTTGCTCTGTTGTTTCTCTTTGTGGCAACATTATAGTCAATCTTGTTCACCAGCATTTGGACAGCATTTCATGTAAAAGTTCTTCTGAAAGAGTTTTATTACATTATAGGTCTTTCATGTTGCAATGATGACTGTTACTGAACAAGAAACTCTCTCAGAGTGAAAATGTTCCTCACACTAGAGATGTTTTCATTTTATTGAAATTTCATTGAATTTTCCAGGCACAATAAAGCATACCTTAAGGGTTAATCAAAAAATAGCATTACACACTGTGCAAAGTGTATTCATTTTATTCTTTGTGGGTAACAAACTCATTAAGTTTTTAAAAATGCATATTGTCACCATGTTTCTCCCTTTTATCTGTTAAATAAATATCAACTTTTAAAATAAAGTGTTTACGTTTAAACTTAAATTTGATAAACACCTGAATTTAATCTAGTAAAGGATATATTGCTTTACTTTTTCTTTTAAGATAAATTTCCAAATTCTCTTGCTTTTCCAGCCATGACAATAGTAAAGTCTTAAACTAAAAATATGCTAAAAATTGAAATAAGATTTGCATTCACAACTCTCAATTTTCTAATGAAGGTAGCTAAGTTATATATCTTTCTCATATATTACTTTTTGAAATTTTTGATACAAATAAACCTTATTATATACAATAAGGATCTTATTGTAAGGGTCTACAATATACAGTAAAGAGAATATTTACCTAGAAAACCCCATGGATTCATGCAAGAGACTCCTAGACTTGATAAATGAATTTGGTAAAGTCTCAGATTACAAAATCAATATACACAAATCAGAGGCATTCATATATGCCAAGAACCATGAAGCTGAAACTCAAATAAAAAATGAAACACCTTTTACTATAGACCCAAAGAAAATTAAATATCTAAGAATATATTTAATGAAAGATATGAAAGACTTATACAAGGAGAACTACGAAACACTAAAAAAAAGAAATTGTAGATGATGTAAACAGATGGAAAAATCTACCTTGTTCATGGATTGGTCGAATCACTATCGTAAAAATGTCAATATTACCTAAAGTCATCTATAGAATTAATGCAATCCCCATCAAAGTACCACCACCATTCTTTACAGATATAGAAAAAATAATTCTGCACTTTGTATGGAACCAGAAAAAACCTTGTATAGCTAAATCAATCTTAAGTGAAAAGAACAAACTGGGAGGCATTAGTCTTCCTGACTTCAAGCTGTACTATAAAGCAATAATAATTAAATCAGCCTGGTATTGGCACAAGAACAGAAGCATCAATATTTGGAATAGGACTGCGATTCCAGAAATGAAACCATCTGCACACGAGAACCTAATCTTTGATAAAACAGACAAAAATATACAATGGGGAAAAGAATCTCTCCTCAATAAATGGTGCTGGGAAAACTGGATAGCTACATGCAGAAGAATGAATCAGGATCCTTACCTCTCACCTCTCACAAAAATCCACTCAAAATGGATAACAGATTTAAACCTAAGGAATGAAATCTTAAGAATCTTAGAAGAAGAGGTTGAGAAAACCCTCTCAGACATTGGCCTAGGCAAAGAATTCTTGAAGAAGACCCCCAAAGCAATCACCACAGCAACAAAAATTAACAAATGGGACCTGATCAAATTAAAAAGCTTCTGCACAGCCAAGGATACTATCATTAGAGCAAATAGACAACCTACAGAATGGGAGAAAATATTTGTTCTCTACATTTCCGATAAAGGTCTGATAACAAGAATCTATCTAGAGCTCAAAAGAATCAACAAGAAAAAAAATCAAACAACCACATCAAGAAATGGGCAATGGAAACGAATAGAAACTTTTCTAAAGAAGACAGAATAATGGCCAGCAAACATATTAACAAATGCTCAATATTGCTAATCATTAGAGAAATGCAAATCAAAACCACAATGAGATATCATCTAACCCCAGAGAGCTTGACCTGTATCAAAAAATCCCAAAACAACAAATGCTGGTGAGGAGGTGGAGAGACTGGAACACTCTTACACTGCTGATGGGACTATAAATTAGTGCAACCTTTGTGAAAAAGAATTTGGAGATATCTCAAAGAGCTAAAAATAGAAATATCATTCAACCCAGCAATAGCATTATTAGTTATCTACCCAAAAGAGCATCAGACATTCTATTATAAAGACATCTGCACCCGAATGTTTATGGCAGCACAATTCACTATTGCAAGGATGTGGAAACAACCCAAGTGTCTGTCAATTCATGAGTGGATTATTAAAATTTGGTATATGTTTACAATGGAATATTACTCAACTCTAAGAAACAACAGTGAGCTAGCACTGCTTATATTATCCTGGATTGAGCTTAAACCCATTATCCAAAGTGAGGTGACACAAGATCAGAATAATAGGCTCCACATATACTCACCATGAAATTGATACTGATTAACACTATGGTGCTCAAAGGGTGTTGGTGTTCACCAGGAATTCGAGGGTTAGAGGGGTAGTCCCACATCTGAGAGATGTGGTGAACATTGTGGAGGGGAAGGGCATACCTCTAACCCTTGCTAGGAAGAGGCAAAGATATAAAATGTAACCAAAATGTTAAGAAAAAAAAGAAAAACAAACATTTGTCAGGTGTGGGGCAGGTGGTGGGGGGAGGAGGGGATGGGTATATACATACATAGTGAATGTGATACACACCGTCTGGGGGATGGACACGCTTGAAGCTCTGACTTAAGGGGGGAAACTTCATTTCCATAACTAATGCATTAGGCAACAGAATATTATTTAAAATTTAT